GAGAATATTTATGAGGAATTAACAAAGAGTGTAGATGGCATAAATAAAAGTGAATGCGAAATGATGTAACGTGTGTTAATACGTGCAAAATATGTTTCAGATATCAGAAAGCTGTTCTAAACAAAATGTCTTTAAATAAAAACCGTGAATGTGTAGTGTTACATCAACAAGACGAATATCACAATTGTTTTTGATATATGAAAATGGGGATAAATTATAATAATTATGAATTAAGCATTATAATGCTACATTATTATTTTATATTAGATAATTCTCAGCATTTTTTAAAAATATATATTTAAAAATATATATATATTGTGTTTTAATGTTATCTAATTAGTGAAATATGTTCATATATGTTTATCTAATTAGTAAAATTATGTCTACATTTTATTTTCTATATGGATTATTTTATAATTGTTGATAAAAAATGACAAAATGGATACTTGTCATTTGACATTATCGACGTTTATTTCATTGCCAACAGTACCGACAAGTACGATGCTGAAGCCTTCATAATCTATAATAATGTTACTTTTTGTATTATTGATTGCATTATATTAACATTACTTTTTGCATTATTTATAAAAAATATATGCTTAATGCAATGTCTCAATATCAATATTTTTATGATGAAACGTTTTAAATATTGATTTCAGTAATTAAAACAAATACATGCAGATATGTAACTGCGTATATGTAAAATCTTGATCTAAATATCATAATGTTTTTTTATAAATATTTATATATCTTACACTTGTGAAGGATTCGAAGGAGAGGTCCATCATCTTGCCTGTCTGTAAATTTCAATTGCTTCTGCGATCTCAAAATTATAAATAATAAAATATTACTTTCTTTAGTCTTCATGTCGTACCATGCGGAATTGTACGCTGCATTTCCAATTGCTTTGCTCTGCAAAGGAGAAATAATGAAGAGATTTTTAGTATTTCTTTGTGTCATATAATATTTTTAATACTACAAACGCAAAATTATTTACTTATTAGCTGTTATCGTTATCATAATAATTGTCTTGTGTCGCTAACCTTGTTGCTCAGATATTCTCCAGCGAAGCAAAATATAAATGTCTCGAGATTTGTTAGAGTGTAAAATAAGAGAGATCTTCCTATCATTTCAGTGGCATTTGGATTGCCGATTGCCTACGATATTGCAACAGGGACTTGAAGAAAAAATTTATTTACAAAATTATAAATAATAATTATTTCTATTTATGCACGATATGTATTAAAAAGTGACAATATTAATGATGATATATCGTATACGTTATGATAACATGCGATTAAAAATACTTGGAAAATTTTTATATCTAATTTTGTCTTTATTTTGCAGATTTTTATAAATTTACGTACGGTTATGATAAGAAATCCTAATGAGCAAATCTGTAGTGTATTCGATGTAAATTGCAGTAAAACGATATATGAATAGAGACTTTCAATATTTTTTGAAAGATTGATAACTCTTTGATGTTTTTGAATAATGTTTGTTATAGAGACGACAAATGATTTATTTTCTTCTTCAATTTTATTAGGCTCCATTTCCGCCAACCAGCAAAGTAGAATGTTTACTTGACTGCCTAAATGTAGAGTCTAAAAATAAAGATTCTATCAGCTATGACATTGATTAAAATTTATTTAAGATTTATGTATATGCTTCTTAATTAAGAAAAAAGAGATAAAGATATCGTTATCAGAAAAAAATTTAATGAAGTATTGAGAGCATATTAAATGCTTTGATATTTAATTTTTTAAATTTGTTGTTGGTGTATAATATTTGTTAGAATATTTGTTGGTGTATAATATTTGTATAATATTTGTATAATATTTGTTAGAATAATTATAGAATATTAATTATTTGTTATCTTTGTAATGATATTTCGCTTATGATACTTGCTTATCTGCAGATTACCAGAGTTAGAAACAGAGCGTTGAATAAACCAGCTTCCCAACTGCACACCATCGCATACACAAATTGTGTAGCTAACACCAGATCGTACTTGCTTCGCGTGTCTATGACGAAGGGATATTCCATTTTCATCACGAGGGGCAGCTCGCTAGTTTGATCGGTGACGTCGACGTCGGCCAAGAGGATGCCAGCAACGTATGCAATAGCGCCGAATGTATGAAGAATAATTAGCCCGTTACAAATACGACTTGAAGCTTTTGTTTTGCGTATTGTTTCGCTCAACGCAACACCCCTATTGCCACATTTAATCCAGTCCTCCGACATCATGGACAAGATTTCGATGAATTTTCTATGAACGATTAAATATTTTGTGTCTTCGAAATATTTCGAAAGAATTTTACAGTGACATATTTTTCTTATGTAATTATTGATGACTTATAAAATTTTTCTTTTTCCAGATTTCAAGGATTGTTCTTTCTTTGTACAAAATAAAAAAGGAAAATTAATATTATTTGTATGTTAAACTGTTACTCACTGCTGTTGTAACGAAAAAACGATGAGCTTGGCGGTCAGTTTGACATGCGCCAGGAAGCTACTCAGACAGTCCAACAAGTTGAAAAGATTGTCCGCGCGAAAATGCGTTACAAAATACCGATAGTGGAAGAATTGACTAATTGCTAGCGTAATTATCCAAAACACTCTGATGACTAGAACGCATGATATACCTGGCCAGACGCCAAACATGGTGAGCATGAGCTCTACCGTGCGATTGATCGTACGTCTGCTAGTCATAATTTCGTTTTTTTTTTCCTATCGCCTATGCGCTAAACCGGGGAATCAAAACGTGTACGCGGCACAGCAAGCACTCTCGTCAAGGTATGAGAGACATATGCTCTTGCTGAAATTATATTTTCCAACCGCAAGGTATTTGATATGTCTTATGAAAAATTTGCGTGGAGAATAAAAGTTTCTGAGCGATCACCAAGGGTGGGTAGCATTCTAGGAATTGGTCGACAACTGACCAATGGCAAGAGCTCATTAAATATTGTTGCGCATTAAATATTTTTATTCTGCAAACGATAAAGACGGTATCTCTCTTGCAAGGTGAAAAAAAAACAGAGAGCAGGTAGGGTCATCTTGCCCTTTCTCCGATGCTAATGATGCACTCATGAATTTACTGTAAATATGTAATGATCTGTACGAACGCATACGGCGACGTATATGCGGTGGCGATCCGCATCTAGCGATCCTTGAGAAAATTTTAAAATCTAAAGAAAAGGGAGCAAGTAAGAAATGTGCCACGTAATTGCGTGCGAAATTGCGTTATTTAGCTGTTATAAAGTCTCAACTTTTCGCGGAAAACCATTTTCATGAGGAGAGAAAATAAAGCACCCGCCGACGGATTTCTTACAGACTGTGTAGAGATACTGTGCATTCACCGCTTATTTGTCTTAATAATTCAAAGTATTGTATAACTCTGCGTCGTATGTAAGTTATACCAAAATCAAACTTGCGTGCTGAAGTCCCGGTAAAATTGATAATGAAAGGAAAAAGGCACGAAATATTCAATGTGCATGTATATATGATTACTCGTAACGTTTTTCGCGTTGGCTCAGATGGACTAAGGCATGGAATATCGAGGGAAAATAAAATTGCTTTTTCACGTAGACGTTCACATCAGTAAAACGATGGCTGAAGAAAATTGAAAATTCAAATAATAAACCGCAACATAAATGCACAAAACTATAGAAAAATAGTAGATCAAAATTTTTGATTTTAGCGGACTTTAGTGTAAAGTCGCGCAATTATTATACAATATTTCGATAATTATTGCTCGCATAATCGTAACGAATTGCATTTTCACAAGTCAATGCTACGAAGAAACAGCCGTCAATTGACTGTTGACAGAAGGTGGTTCGGAAAGCTCTTGTAGGAAATATAATGAATATGAGGATTCGATATTGAAGAAGTATGTGAGAAAGATTTATATTTATAAAATTTAATAATATTTAAAACATATTTTTTGATTTTTAAAAAATAATAATTGGTATAAAATACTCGAAAAATCTAGTTATTACATGCAAAATAGGTAATGACAATTTCATAATCTTTTTAATTATAATCGTAAACTGTGTTTAGCACATCATAATTATAGTTGTCACTTTCAATTGTCACTCTGAATTATTGGTTGCGAGTGATAATTTTCTTTATGCAGACACGCTTTAATTTACCAAAAACGCAACATGTTCAAAGCAGGATGATAATTAGAGGGTTCGATAATCATTAAATATTCTCATTGCGCCAGGCATAAAATACAATTGCAACCGTGAACTAATTATGGGTTTAAAACACAGGAAAAAGTTTATATCGGGACTTCCTCTCGCTGTGGTTTGCCCTTATTTTCAACGAATAAAGGGAATTTAACATCGATCTGTTATAATTGACATGATGTTTCCAGTTATTGATGTGCACATATGTGCAGAGTTGCACGATTTATTTGAAAAACGGAAATGAGACAAAAATATGATTACAATTATCTTTACTCAATATGTGCAGATTTTCTCGCATTGTTACAATAGTCAAATTTTAACATTTATTAGAAGCAGACGCATTTTTTTCTTCAATACATCGCTAACATGACTGATACGTAAGATGCTGCACCTCTTACAAACTATAACAATATTAAATATTTTTTTTACTAAATTTGTTTAAAGTTATTTAAATTATTTAAAATTACAGATTGTTAAAAAATTATCTATCGTAAAAATTATAATATTAATATTAAACATGGAATCATGAATATCATATTATATATATAACATCTTAAAAAATATATATTTTCAGCAAAATAAAATATTTTTATGGTAAAACTCACACTTGCAAATCGTTCTAAGGAAAGATCCGCGAATTTCCCCACTGTAATCGTCAATTGGTTTTGCGATCTCATTATCAACAACAAAATAATTCGGCTGTCTTGAAATTTGGTTTCGTACCACTGAGAATTGTACGCAGCGTCTCCGATCGTTTTACTCTACGTACCGAAAATTAACAGATTACATTATCTATTTATTATTAATAACTTAATACATAATAATAATAAATAATGCTAACCTTAACGCTTAAGTATTCCCCAGCGAAACAAAACATAAATGCCTCTAAATTTATTACGGCGTAAAATGCAAGAGATTTTATTATAGTTGCAACAGCATTAGGTGTCCCAATTGACTAAAATATAAACATAAAAAACATAAAAAAATATCTTTATAATAATGATTAACAATTAAAGTCGCTAGATAGTGCAATATAAATATTACGGATAAATTTTTTATCTAAATTCTTACTTGAATCAAATTAACTTTTTCATAGTAAAATTTATCACGATTACTTACCGTAACGATTACAAATCCAACACAGCAGATAATCAAAGTATCCGATACGAAGAGCATCAGCGCAATATTGGAATAGATAGTTTCGATGTTTTCTGAAAAATCAATAATTCTTTGATGCTTCTTAATTAGTTTTCTTATCAACGTTAAGCTTGGCTTAAATCCATTTTCTTTCGAATACATTTCTGTCAACCATTTATCAAGAATATTGATTTGCCCAACTAAATGCAGTACCTAAAAGTGCATTTCTATTTATTATGATTTTTTATAATCATAATTATCGATGATATTAATTAAAATCAGTTTGAGAGCGCAATTCTAATAACAAAATACTTCAGAGCAAATTTAACTTACCAAAACAATAAGGAGAGCGTTTAACGTGCTAAGAGCACAGGAAGTGATCAATAAGTAGGAAAATTGCACTATCAACACTAATCCATAAGAAAATTGTGTATCACTATCAAACGGCAAATCCATCTTTAAAATGAACGGTCGCTCGGATACCTTGGTCATTTTGTGGTTATTTGCGCCGAAAACAATCATAATACTGTACAATGTTGCAGTTAACATATGGAAACCGACAATAATGTTGGAGAAATAATGCGACAGAGTGGCTGTGTTTATTGTCACACTGAAATCGGTACTATTCTTTTGCTCCCAATCCGCCGCCATCATCGCTAATATGTTGTTGAACGTTCTATAAAAGCGATTTTTTTTCAAAAATATTGATTTTACAATATTGAATACGTATAGTATATGCGCAGGAATTTGTACAGTAATTATAATTTCATTAATTGATCGAACGAAAGTCTGTACACAAATATTTTCCATAACGTTATTTGCACTACGTGTCTCACCGCTGATTGAGCCAAAAAATAATGAATTTAATAGACAATAGAGTATAAGATAGAGTTGCACCGAAGCCGTCCATCAAGTCGGAAAAATCAACGGCGTACAAATTCGTGACAATATATTGGTATTGAAAAACTTGACCTGCGATAAGCACAAACATCCAAAATAGTCTGCAGAGCAAAACGCACGATGAGTCCGGCCAGATGCCAAAAATGCGAAGCGAAATTTCTAGAGTTCGGCTAATGGTGCTTGTAGGTTCCATACTTTTTTTCACTTTCATCTTTTTATAATTCTTCACTACTTTTTTTATACTATGGAAATACCCGACACTATCAGATCGTACAAAATTAATCGATCATACGATGTGCAAAACAGAACTTTTCTTCAAGAACTGAAAGATCCGGAGAAAAGTTAAATTAAAAGTAAGCATTGATCTATGAGCAGAAATTAATAATTAAACATTTCTATACGCATTCGAATTACTCCCACTATCGTGTCTCTCCGCTATTTGTAGTAAAAAAAAAAAAATTGTGCTTCCTAAACTGACAACCGCGCAGACAGTACAGAAGCGAGTAATTTTCTTTAAAAATTCAAGCAAGCGTAGATGCGACACACGAACGCACATTGAATATTAAATTCATCGCGGTGGTCGTAAGAGAAATCTTCGTAGAAATCGCATGTTCAGAGAAAACCACAATGTCTATCACGATCGCCTTTATAACATAGGATCACTCACCATGCAAAATACGGGGAAACAGGAAAAAAAATTTTAAACTCGATATTTCACCCTACTTGTCGTTTCCTTCAGCTCTGTAAAATGTAAGACGCGTTAACGTAGATAAACCCGTCGCAAAAAAAGAAAAAATTTTACCTTCAGATCAAGTTTTCTACTTTCTACCAGTATTTTACACAGATGTGATACTTACACGCTATGAATAAATAATTAAGTCTCTCCTTCCTGAAGTGATGTCTCTTTCTGTTTTCTGCTCCAGTAAACGATTATATTGCTCTTTGGCACTATACATCGTTTCCTAGTTGGAGGAACCAAACGGAGAGTAGGAGGACTTTATTAATCACGATTTAGCAATTGAAACTAGCTGGAAAAAAACGAAGTATTTAATTTTATTAACAATATTACACAATAAATAATATGAGACAAATACTATAGATCGTCATCTGTTTCATTTTAATTTTTGACACTGCGAATTGTTCTTTAATGAAATCGTCAATGTAAATATAAAAAAGAGATTCAACATTATCACTTACATTTATATGTATTTATTGCACACTGCTGTTTCTCATTATGTAAGACATGCGTGTGTTGTCATCAAGATAATACGCCAGAGAGAAGGAGCGTGAGAATGCGCATTAATTTCGTGAGCGCGTTGCGACATGTGGTGGGGGTTATTTTCGCGTAGGCTACGGCTTACATCCCTTTTCTCTCTCACTCTCACACTTTCTCTCTCATCTGCGTGCTTATTGGTACGCACATTATTGTTCCCCCTCTACGCATTCTCCCAAATTGGAATGTGAGCGATCTTGTCTTTACCGTTGCTTTCTTATTACTCGCACGGAATCAGGCCGTACGTGATGTGATAAATCGTTCATATTAGTGCGTTATCTCGTCCAAAATCACTATTCTTGCTCTCCTTGCTGTCTTTCTAGCATAATTCTTCTTCGTAATTACAATCACGATAAATATTAATGTTGTTTCCTATAAATTCTTATGTATTTAGAATTTGCGTTGTTATTTAGTTACCGCGTTTACAATATTTTACTCTGCGGTTTCCTATTCTTTATTCTAACATTTACATATATTCATATTCATGATTTTAACTTCAACTTTTAGTGTATTCATATTATAATATACGAAATAGAAAGTTGTACACACATGTCGCAAATCGCGATTGTATTTTTCGCGTGAGAAACAGCGCTCAAGTAGTGTAAGCGTAGCATAACCGCGACGACTAACATGCAAAAAATTATTCCGTAGCTTCCGATCTCTTTATCTTTTTCGTCGTTACCTGTTTTGAGTGTCGAAAGTTCCGTGCGATAATATTTAAGTTTTTATTTTGTTCTAATGTGACAAATACGTGTCGGGATTTAAAATATCAGGCGAGTTTCATGTCGCAAACGCGTATAAGTGCTTTAAAGGAGCAGATTGCTGAGAGAAGGCTCGAAAGGAGCATCGGGCATTGGCGAAGCAACATTAAGGTGAACAACATTAATCATTTATTTATTATATTATTTGTAAAACGTTATTAAATATTATGTAGATAAAACGTAAAAAACTGGAAATGTCTGTGCTGGAAGTCGAGGTAGGATTCGAAGTAGAAAGAACTAACAAAAAATTGCACGAGTTTGATTTCATTTAACAAACTTTGCGTATTTCGAATTATTGATTTTCCTTTCGAGTTTATTTTTCCTCTCGATGAAAACACATATACACGCGCCAATATGTGACGCACGTGAGGAACGAGAGAGTGATAAATAACATTGTGAGAGTTTCTACTAACTTTAATTTATGCGCAAATTCTCTGCAACTAAATAATAACCAACTTTTAATTCACTAGAAGTACCTACGTACAAAATTGTTTCAGTATATTGCAAGCAGCACCGATATAAGAGATTTAAGGTTTTACAATTTAATAATGTTATTTGTTCGTCATGATATTACACTAAAGTTGTAAATAATAAAATTAATGTCTATATTTAATGTTATCGATTTAAAATATTACGTCGATTTATATATATACTGACCGTTATTATATAAAAGCATAAAAAATGTAAAGTATTGAGCAATGCATATATAAATTAAAAATGTAATGTTGTTAAAATAATATATTTTTATAGAAGAATGTGTGTGTGTGTGCAAGATAAATGCAGTAATCTTACGTCAGTAAATCGTTTTAAAGAACAATAAAGACAAATCCGAGATAGACAAATGGCCGATAGAAGGTATTCATAAAATATTTGCATCTACGTGCAGATAACATGAGAGTTGCCATACTTCTTCCTCGGTGCTTGTAATAAAAAAAATAAAATAAAATTGCAACAAAGGCCACTTGCTCACAAACTGATGGCCACGCAAAGCACTGACCGATTTGCTTTAAAAATGCAAGAAAGCAAGCGTAGATGCAACACGCAAGTTGGATATTAAAATCATCGCGGTACCATAAGAGAAATTTTGATCTTTTATAGAAATCGCATGTTCGGAAAAAATAATACGAATCTCTATTACGATTACAGTTGTACCATAGGATTACTCGTTATAAGAGAGAAGCATAAAAAGAATTTACATCATTTACATGCGGAATCGGAGTTAAACGCGCAGAAAATGTATATAATATTCGAATAAATGTCGATAAGACTTGCCAGATAGAGGAAACCAAGAGAAAAGAAACTGCAAGCTCACTTCGTTCGACTTCATTTAACAAACTTTGCGTATTTCAATTTATTGATCTTTCCTTCGAGTTTATTCTTTCTCTTGTCGAAAACTCATATATGTACACGCGCGAACATGTGACGCAGGATGAGAAAATGGTAAATAACATTGAAAAATCTTTTATCAAACTTATGTGCAAATATTTTAGAATTAAACAACAGTCAACTCTTAATTCACTAGAAACGCAATGTACAAATTTTAGCTTTGCTTCAGTACATTGCGAGTAGTACTGATACATAAGAGGCTGAAGCTTTTATAATCTGTAACAGTGTTATTTGTTTATTACGATTAATTGTATTGTTTTATTTTCCATTATTTTCTAATATTAATATTCTGAGAAAATAACGTGTTTTATGAAAGTTTGTGCGTGCGGTAAAAATACGATAATCTTACATCACTAAATCGGCTTAACGTCAAATCCATGAATCTTCCCACCTTTAAGGTCAATTGATTTTGTGATCTCATTATCAAAAACAATATAATTTGATTGTCTTTGGAATTCGATTCGTACCAAAGGGAGTTATACGCAGCATCTGCAATGGCCTTGCTCTATATTGAATAAAACATTTTATATAACTTCTAGAAGTATTAAAAATATTACGTTTATTATGTTATGGATATAAAATAATTTTAATGTTAACCTTATTACTTAAGTATTCTCCGGCAAAACAGAATGTAAACGCCTCCATGTTCATAACGGAGTAAAATAAAAGAGTTCTTATTATAATTACCAATGCATTGGGCGTTCCAATTGACTGAGATATTAAGAAAGAAAGAAAAAGTATAAGTTTTTAAAGTTTGAAAAATCTCAACGTTTTTGCAATTTAATCTAATTTTTTTTTTTATTATAAAATTTGTCGAGATTACTTACTGCAACAAGTATAACTCCCAAGCTGCAAGTAATTAAAGTAATGGATAGCAATTGAACCATCATTACAAATGAATATAGATTTTCGATGTTCTTTGAAAAAACGATGATTTTCTGGTGTGTCGTAATCACTTTCTTTGTCGTACTTTGGGCGGATTTTTCTTTTTTTGGAAAAATTTCTAGTAACCATCCACAAAGAATGTCGATTTGATCGCTTACGTGTAATATCTGAAATATATGATTACATTGATTGCTTTAATTATTGAAATTTATTATAGAATGTGTAAAAAATTAACAATTTTTGGTAAATAAGCCGTTTGTAATTTAAACAAAACAATTTAATGCAATATTTTCATTTTGAAGATACCGGCAAATGATTTTTTACAATAATAAAAATAATATTAACAATTTTTTAAGATATCAGAACTCACCAAAGCTATGAGCAGAGCATTTAGTGTACCATCCAAACAGGCGCACAGCAACAGGTGAAGAAACTGGCTAAACATAACAATTTCGTATACGAGTCGTTTGTCGCTATCAAATGGCAAATCCATCTTTATAATTAGTGGTCGTGTAGATTCCTCAGAAATTTTATCGTTGAAGAAACCAATGATAAAAATGGCAGCACTGTACACCGTTGCGGTTAATGCATGAAAACCTATGATAAATTTAGACAAGTAATCTGACAGAGTTGCTTTGCTTGCCACTGTAGACGCATTGAAATCCGTATCAATATTCTTCCAGTCCATTACTATCATTGCTAATATCCTGTTGAGTGTCCTGTGAGCGATGTTGTCGATTGTTACAATAAATGTAGAAAAATAACGATTTACGTGAATTATTATATGTGCAGAAATATAATAATTAATATAACGTAATAAGCATTATGCCACATAACTATTTAATATTAATTAATTTTTAAATAATGCGCTATTTATATTACATACTATTGCACTTCTCACCGCTGATTGAACCAGAAAATGATGAGTTTAATGAACAATAACAAATATGCCATAATTACGCTCATATCGTCCATTAATTCAGCCAAATCGATAGAATGTAAATTTTTAATAATATATCGGTATTGAAAGATTAGAATGACCACAAGAGAAATTATCCAATAGAATGATGTGTGCAATGAGCCTGGCCAAAGGCCAAAAATGCGAAGTAGAATTTCAATCGGTCGACTAATCGTGCCTGTAGCTTTCATACTTTTCTTATTATTTTCCCGTTTAATCTTTTTTATTTTATTTTGCTTAAAAAAATGTTATAGTTTTGGAAATTGTCAATTTTTGCAGAAGGTAAACTTAATCGACCGTACGATGCGTAGTATTAAACGTCTCTGTGCGAACTGAATGGTGGTGACAGAAGACAAACTAAACCAATCCTCCCCTTTTGCGACCAATAAAAGATGTCCATTAAATATTTGCACCCGCGTGTAGATCGCATGCAGAGTTGATATAGTTCTTCCTCAGTGATGAAAAAAATAAAATTGCATCAAAGGCCACTTGCTCACGAATCGATGGCCACGCAAGGCAACGACCGATTTGCTTTAAAAATGCAAGTAAGCAAGCGTAGATGCAACACGCAAGTCGGATATTAAATTCACCGCGGTGACTATAAAAAAACTCTTAAGTTTTCGTCGAAAGTATGTTTTAAAAGGAAACTGTCTGTGTCGAAGGAAATTTTTTTTATGTATGATGAGACGGATCTTTTTTTTGTTTAATTATGCAGGAAACCACGCAACGTTATAGATAGCATGCCGTAATATAGAGAATATTGAAATGAATTGCGCATTATAGTTCTTGCAAACTTGAAGACTAAGAAACGAAATATCGAGAGAAACTTAAGATAGAAAATTATAAGTTCTTTCTTCCATCATTATTACTTTTTCTCCGTAAGTTTATGTGTCTGTGAGCAATTGTACAGGTTACAACATAAATAATTGTTTCACTATAAAATGGAATACGACGGAGCTCTCGATATAGAAAAATAAGTCAGTCATTTACTTGTATCGTGAAAGACAGTAGTTTATCTCTTAACAAATAAGTCGGAGTCATTTATGGTTCTTCTCTTATAACATAATTTAGTCATTAAAAATATATATAGATTTTGTTTGACATTTTTAATTAATTTGTAAAATAAATCTAATCGAAATCTAATTCAATAATAAATTATTAAAGCTTTTTCTTATTTCTGAATAAAATATTTTTTATCTAATAGCATGCGTTCTATTTGAAATAATTGACTCATTTATAGTATATTGCAATATTTAGTATTAATACTCACTAAAGTTGTAACAAATTATAGATAATCTTAAATTTTTGTATTATATAATATTAATTGTAATTTATATGTTAATCAAGAAGAATGATATTGTGTTATTAGGTGATAAATTGCGTGAAATTATTAATCTGCGAATAAATGAAGATACTAAGCGAAAAGTGATGTGCGGTTATGAAAATTGAGGGAAAGAAAGGAAGGATTAGAAGCAACAAAGGAATTAGAGAAGTAGGGAATAAAAAATACACGGGAAACGGAGAGAAGAATGAGAAAGTCGAGATATGACAGAGAATACGGAGTATTAAGCACAATGGGGGGTGCCGAGGTATCTTAGCGACACACGCCGGCAAGAGTAAGTTGAAGAGGGTAGTTCAGATTGGAGAATAAACTGAGAAAATAAAAAGAAACACAGGGGAGAAGCATAAAATAAACGAAAAAACAGTAGGGAACGTGGAAATGTGTATGGAGAATGATAGATGAAAGGGAAAGAAGCAGGCAATGAAGGAAAATATTGACGAAATTAAGGAAAAGAAAGAGATACATGAGATAAGTTACAAATGGAATTAGATAGAAGACGGCTAAAATCAGGCTGACAATAAACATGTGCGACGCAAAGCAAAACAGTTAGGGATTAAGTAGAATAAGATGGAATGAACGCGGCCGGCGAGACGCGCGGAATAACGATGAGAAATGGAAAAGACGTAATAAACGGAGAGAATGTAAGAGAGTTGTTAATTCAAAAAACGCAATTGAAATGCTTGAATGCTTGAATGCTTAAACGCGTAACTAACAATATATATTACGCAATTACAGTCTTTTACAACAATCAATTTCTTTTTTTAAGACATAGCCAGCAGCACAGATATATAGGACGCCGACGCCTTCATGATCTATAATAATCATGGAAAAGATTGATGTATTTACAACGCGTGAAAATGCAATAGAAACAGAATTTTAATATGTGTGTGATATTAGCGCAAAAGTACGATAAGTTATCATTGGCAGTAAGGATTGCGCGTGCGAGAAAAGTGGTGAGAGCTTACGCTAGCGAAACGTTCCAGCGACAAATCCGCAACCTTCCCGATCGTAATCGTTAATCGTTTTTGTGACCTCAATATCAAAAATATTATTATTTGACTCTTGTTCACGTGCACGTTGTACCAAAGAGATCCATAAGCCGCATTGGCAATATTCTGACTCTGAAGAGCAAATAATGTAAAAAAATTATTTATCATAGAAATACAATTTATATATTGTGCGAAACGCAAAAGAAAGATTCAAGTGACAGCTGTTTATCATTAATGCGTACGTAACGGTGGCCGTCAAGTTGCTTTAAATTACGAAAATTACGAAAGACGCTAACTGTTGCAAAGTTGAAAAGGTTACGAGATAATCGTATTTTGTAACGTTTGTAGACTTTGGAATAAATCTTGAGTGGCATTACAAAATCGATTTAGTGATATCCGACGAGTTATACGCTGACCTTACTACTCAGATATTCCCCGGCGAAGCAGAAAGTGAACGCCTCGAGATTCATAACGATGTAAAACATCAGGGTCTTCACCAACATCGTGGAAGCGTCTGGGCTGTCTAGTGACTGCAACACCATTTGAATAATGTTCTTACTGTCTTACACTCCTACTTTACATTTTTATCCCTTAAACCACGCATCCGCAGCGATTTTCTAGAAAGCTTTTCCTTTCCGATATTATTATCCAGAATAATAAGTTTGAATAGAATGATTATCAAATATAACTTTTACGATTCTCTGCTATTTGAAATATAAATCAATATTTAGCTATTTAACAAATTAATTTTAATATTTAATTAGTCTAAATAATTTTTTTACTTTTGTTGTTTGCTAGAAGATTTGTGTTCAAGATTTAAGAAATTGCATATTCGAATAACATTTTTGTTTTTGAAAAATTAATTATTTTATTTGATAGCAATTAATTCTTATCTTCCGATATTACTCACGCTGACGATGACAAACCCTATAGAGCAAATAATCAAAGTGATTGCTATAAATTGCATCAATGCGATGTAACAGTACAGGTTCTCGACGTCTTCGGCAAATAGAATAATTTTTTGATGTTTTCCTATTAAATTTTTTATGGTAGTCCCAGTCATGCCGTGTATACTGTCCTTGGAAAAAATATTTGTTAGCCACTCTTGTAAAATATCAATTTGACCACTGACGTGAAGTACCTAAAAATTATAACACACATGAATGACTAGCAAACATAATTTATGTATTATCTTTCCTTCGAACACTATCAATTATAGCAGTGAATCACATATTAATGCAATATTTTAAACATTTTACTTTCAGAAATTAATTTGTAATTAAGAACACTATATTTATATTCAAATATTGAAAATTGATGATCAGCTCACAAAGTCATATTATACTAACGACAATTATTTCGCGTAAAATGTTTGTCTTGATATGTGGCAATAAATCTTTTGCATATATGTGGCTTACCAACGTCATGATTAAAGCGTTTATTACGTCGATCGCACAAGCGTTCAATACCAATTGGATAAATTGCATGATAACTACGAGTTCGTACACGGGCGAGCTGCTGCTGTCGAAGGGATACTCCATATTGATGATAAATACTCGAACGGGGATAGTTGATGCGTTAAAGGTCTCATCGCCGCTATTGGACAAAAACGCACCGAGGCTATAGGTCACCACTGCGGCCATATGAATGCCGATAATCGTATTCGAAACGCGATGCGACAGGCTAGCCATGCTCGCCGTTACCTGCATGCTAAACGGATCGTTTGCGCATTCTTTCCAATCCGCGGCGATTCTTGTTAAAATATTGTGAAACTTTCTATGCAGGGACAAAGCAAATTTGAGAACGAAATAACGTAACAATATAAAGTCTTAATTTAACTTCTATATTACGTTAAAAAGAATATCTTGGAAAGTAATGAGATTAACTCACCGTTGATTAATCCAAAAAATAATCAGTTTGATGAACAACAGATTGTAAGCCAAACAGGTGCTCACGGTGTCCATCAAATCAGTCAGACTGTCAGTGTGGAAGTGTAATGCGACATAAGTGTATTGTAAGATCAGAGTAACGGTCAACAGCACGGTCCAGAATAATCTGCGTAGAGCGAGACACGACGTGTCGGGCCAAACGCCGAAGATATAAAGAATGGACTTTATAGAAAAGCACACCGTGCTTGTAGTCATTTTTGTAATTGCGAGAAAAAAGAAACTTCTCCACCGACGATCTATAAAAGTATCGGCGAGCGCCGTGTGCGTGTTCTTCGTATGATCGAAGTGTATCGCGAAAAACTAGCTGATGATTGAAAGGTCGTTGCAGACGCGCACCACAGCCGACCGAGATCGATTAATGATTAAATATTCTCACGGTGTGGAATATAAAATACGACTACAATTCTATAGATCTACAATTATGGGTTTGAAAAGTAATAGGAAAAAAAAAAATTTACAGAATATTAGCTCCCTTGTGCTCCTTCATTTTTTTTTCTTTCTCAACGCTAATGCAATAGAGGCGAATTACGTGGTTTAAAAATGCAAAGACGCAGTGTGCGCAGAAAGTGCATAATATCCAAATGGAAGTTCCGCGAAAAAATACAAGGGAAATCGGCGAGACTCCAGGCGGAACGAACAATGCTGATGAGAAGGGAGGGGGGGGGGGGAGTCATACGCTTGCATTGTTCGGTCTCATTTAATAAACATTGTGCATCTCGAGTTATTGATTTACCTTCCGACAACCCCGAGTTTATTCTCGTTCTCGGCGAAAACGCACATACGCGCGTAAATACGTGACGCATGCGGAAGAAAATGATGGGTAATTCTGTTACAGTTTTTGACAATTTTAATTTATGTGTGCAAATTTTATACATTCAAGCAGTAGCCAGCTACAAACTGTTAGCTTCTTCGACGTATATACAAGATGTAGTTTTGTTTCAGTTCATTGCGAGCAGAACCGATACATAGGAAGCTGACGCTCTTAGTAACTATAACAACATTGTCTGCTTATCGGAAAAATCTTTATCGATATAGTAAGTAAACAAATATACAACTTTTTATCTTATTGAAAAATAATTTAGTAACAAAAAATAAATACTTATGTAAATTCATTGATGCTTTTATCATTATTTTATTAAATATTAAAAAACTAAGTAATACTAATAAACTAAGAATCAATTGATGATAAAATGGAAAATAATATTTTCTAAAAATATTTTCTTAGAAGAGAATTTTTCATAAAAGTAGCTAAATCGACAAAACAATTAGCGTTAAAAGGTTCCGCATGTAAGACAAGTGCAGCAGACTTACACCAGTAAATCGTTCCAGAGATAAATTCATCACCTTTCCAATTGTAATGGTTATTTCAGTTTGCGATCTCATTATCAGAAATAATATAATCCAAATGTCTTTGGAATCCGCTTCGTACCAAAGAGAATTATACGCGGCATCTCCGATGCTTTTGCTCTATTGAATATAATAGATTTCACAGGAGCAAATAGTATTGCACGTTTATTTATAGCAAACACAAATATTCATCCCGTTGTCTGACCTTAGCGCTCAAGTATTCTCCAGCGAAACAAAATGCAAACGCCTCCATATTCATAGCAAGGTAAAATAAGAGAACTCTCATTATAATTTTCAAACCGTTGGACGTTCCAATTGACTGGAATGTTAAGAAAAGACCTAATGGCAACGGAAAGGCGATAAAATAATGAATAATTAAAAGCAATTAACGCTGTGTACTTTACGGACTCTTCAGTGGATGTTTCTGTGGCATACGCTCTCTTTTCATCGTAAAATTGATCGAGGTTGCTTACCGTGACGAGTATGAAGGCCAAGCAACAGATAATTAGAGTGTCCGACACGAACACCACCATCGCGACACTCGAGTACAGGTCTTCGATATATCCTGAAAAGATGATTATTCTCTGGTGTTTCCTAATTATTCTTTTTATCGTACTAAGACTCGGGTGCTTCCGTTCCTTCGAAAAAATTTCCATCAACCACCGACGAAGAATATCGATTTGCCCACCCACATGCAGTATCTAAAATATACGATTCTCTCAACTGCCACGTTTATTGGAAACCGCTAAAGAATATTTTAACGCTTAGATTAAACTTGTGATACAAATTCTTGAAAAATTTTAAAAAGCAGCTCTGCATGTGAATCGAAATTGTCGATAAATGTTTTTGCTGGCGTAAATAATGCACGTATACATTTTGTTAATTCGTTGATATTACGTACAATATTAATAAATCTATAAATAATAAACATAAATAATATGTAATAATAATTAATAATAGTGAACTTACCAAATTTATTAGTAGAACATTCAATAAGCCAATCATGCAGGAACATAAATGTAAGTGAATGAATTGAACAATTATGATCAATTCGTATATGAATTTTCTGTTTATGTCAAATGGTATGTCCATGTGCAGAACGAGCCGTCGTGTGGAAACATTGAAAGTCTTATCGCCGTCTGTGCGATTCACGAAGATATGGCTGCTATAAAACATTACAGCCATCGTATAAAGAACCAGTGTCGAGTGAGCGAGACGTTGCGACAATTTGGCATTGTATATCGTTACAGACATACTAAATTCCGCGTCAGAACACCTTTTCCAATCGATTGCCATCATCCTTAATATCTTGTCAAACATTCTACGAATGGTTTTCATTGATCATAATCGTGATAATGATCGCAACAAAGCGCTGTACAAACCGATGAAAAAAAAATTTATCTTTAATAATTTCACCAATAGCCACATATTTTTTTTAAGTACAAAAATTAATTTGTCATTAATTTTTATATGTCTTATTACATCAATTTAATTTTATCGCATTGTTTATTCTTATAATTGTGAAATAAAATAATGCATGTTAATGCTCAGATGAAACCAAAATTTCAATAGTAAATGCTGTGAATATTGAACTGAAATATGACAGCTTAATGTTGCTAGACAGTTACATACTGTTGCGTATCTCACCGCTGTTTATACCAAAAAATGCCCAGTTTAATTACTAATAGAGAATATGACATTATTGAACTAAAAATGTACATCGCTTCGGAGAACTCGATGGAATCGAAATGTACTATTAAATATTGGTATTGAAAAGTTTGCTCGATCATGAGCGCAATGGTCCAAAATAGTCTGCGTAAGAAAAGGTACGATGAGTCTGGCCAGATGCCAAAAATTCGGAGCCAAATTTCTATCACTTGGCAAGTTGCGTTTTTTAATTTCATGTTTTAAATAAATAGGATATATCGATTCTGGTTAGACAACAAGTTTAAAAAAGTTACGGGAAAAGTTTGATTTGTACGATGTGCGTGATGTTATGCCTTCGCACAGACTGAAAGCTTGATATGAAATACGAATAGAACGCTTTCTATCTCTCTCTTTCTCCACCTTTCTCTCTCTCTCCCTCTTTCTCAGAGCTTATTAAATATTTTGATCGCAACATGTGCACAGATTGTCGTGATACGTGAATAAGAAAAAAAGTTTCCGCCAGGCGAACCCCCTCGAATTGTCGGATAAGTTGGCGATGTAGCGCGGCGCGTTATTTCCTTTAAAAATTCAAGCAACAGAATAGACAGCGGCACGCAAACATATACCGGACGTTAAGCCATGCTCGGTGACCGCAAGAAAACTGTGGAAACTTTTGTGGTTCCGGGAGCGAGGGGACTTTTCGAGGAAGATAGGGAAGGGAGGGCGAAAGTTTCTGTTGCCGAGATTTTGCTCTCCCCCGCTGCACGCGAAGAAAATACTTCGTGTCTTATAGCGAGCACGCATTTGCAACTTATTTTCTTGAAAAATGTAAATCGCGCAATATCCGATGAAACATCGGTGCACGTCTGATACAAGGTGCGCAATAATCGTGAAAAAGTAAGTCAGAAGCTGAAGACGGGAAAACGAAGTATTGAGAGAAGTTTTATTTCAGCGCTACATAGTGTTCTTTTATCGCAGTTGACAAGCATAATGTAAGACCTGAAGAACATTATAAGAAAAAAAAAAAGAACTCGATCTTTTCAAAAGGGCTGTTTTATTCAACATAACTTCGTTTAAACATTGAGAGAATCTAAAATAACATCTAATTGCGCAAAGAGAACTTTTACTATGCAGTTGTTCTTATTGGTGTTTTATCGGATATTATAAAAAATTTTTTTTACGAAAAAAATGCAATGTGATTAAATAATAAATAAAAATAATTATAAAAAATAAATCCGACAATATTCGAAATAATGTAATAATAATAATTATAATACTGTAGCTATTGAGTTCTATTATTTGTATAATTATGTATTTCCATACTATTGATGCAGTTGTTACTAAATATTACGTCATCATGAGGAATGATACTATCGTAACACTGTCATCAATCAAGTTTGAACTTACAATTTGTTGTCAGTACATTGCCAATAATACGGAAATGTATGATGCCGATGCCTTTACAACCTACAATTTTAATCGTTACTGATAAATTATGAATGTATGATTGTTAATATTAATATATATTGACCATGAAACCACAAATATTAATATACATTGACCAGAAAACAAAACTAATAATAATTTAGGTTTAAAAAAATTGAATTATTGTTATTCTAATGTATCACTGCAATTATTCGATAAAATATCATATTTTTATTTATTTTTTAACATTGATTAAAATTTTGATGGTTTGTTGGATTAAGCTTGAAATTTATATTATGAAGTGAGAAAGTATAAAAGGAGCGCAGAAAGTGAAATCTTACGCTAGTAAAACGTTCTAAAGAGAGGTCCATAATTTTTCCAATCGTGATGGACAATCGTTTTTGCGATCTTAGAATTACGAGCAGTACAATTCGATTTTTTTTTAACGTAACGTCATACCAAAAAGAATCATAGGCTGCATCTCCGATCATTTTGCTCTAAAAGGGAAGCAAGATAGACTTCAGATTCTCGTAAATTATAAAGCAGTCACTGCAGTATTCTTGGTGCTAACCTTGGCGCTCAAATATTCACCGGCGAAACAGTATATGAATGTCTCGAGATTCATCACCACATAGAATAGCGCAGACCTCACTAAAATTGGCGGGCCATCGGGTGTACCGATTGACTGTAATATCGAACGTAGTAATTTAAGATAATTTGTATATTTCTGCGGCGCAATATTGACTCACGCGAGTGGTAAGTTAAGTATTAACAACTATTAATTTTTTTTTTAATTCTTGTTGATAAAATCCGCATTTATAAAATAATGAACACGTATTTTTTGCCGACGTTACTTACGGTGACGATAATGAATCCTAAACAGCATATAATGAGGGTGTCCGATACAAACAGTATCAACGTGATATACGTATAAAGATTCTCAATATTCTCCGAAAACATAATAATCCGCTGATGCTTCGTAATTAACGTTCTTATTGTTACGCTGTCTGTGGGCCGCACGTTTTCAGAAAAAACTTTCAGCAACCAGTCGCAAAGGATATCGATTTGACCGTCGATGTGCAGTATCTAAGGTTGTTACTTTAACGATGAAAAACCGCGATTGCGTGTCATTTCATTAAGTAGGATTGCGAACTCACCAGAGTGACGATGAGCGAATTCACTATGGAAATTCCACAACCGCACATCACCAGATGAAAAAATTGAAGAATCGTAACCGCCACATAAATGGGTGATGTGTTAACTTTGAATGGTAGCTTCATTTTCAAAATATGCTCACGCGCAGACACATTCATGCGTGGAATTTCACCGGCGTTTACAGCGAGAACGCCGCAACTGTACAGAACTATTGCTGTCAATTGAAGACCGATGATCCAGTTTGAGAAACGGCGCGACAGTTTGGCCTTGTTCGTCGTAATGCGCAGACTGTGGTCAGTCAAAACACAATTCTTCCAGTCCAATGCCATCATTTGCAGTATATCGGAAAACGTTCTACGGAGAGAAGAAAGATTTTTTACTAAGGTTTTTAAATTTAAGTATAATAATATATGTTTAAGTGCATATATACAATAAGTTCTTAGTATAAAGAATGATTTATATATCATGTCACATATACATTTTGCTGTTAATAAACTTCCGAAATGATAGATATAATACTCGAGATAAATTCTGATATACAGGATTTTCTATTGACATTATTAATAATGCAAAATAATAATTATTAATGTTTTGAATATTTTATTAATATTGATATTTTCACTTTGCTTTATGATTTTAATATATATTTAATATAATCTGATTGCAAAGAGTTGCTTACGCGATATATATCCTTACCGTTGATTGACCCATAAAATAGTGAGTTTGATGAACAGTAGACTGTATGCCATGGCGCTACTCACTCCATCCATAAAGTCGGAGAAATCATCACCCTGATAATGTATTGCCAAGTACTGATACTGAAGAATCTGAGGCGCGCTCAGCATCAATATCCAGAACAATCGGTAGAAAACGGTCGACGGTAGATACGGCCAGACACCGCACGCGTGAAGGCCGATCTTCACCGCGCGGCTGACCGTACTTGTCTCCATGTTCCCTGAAAACGACAAGGTGCACACGCCACGAGGATCTCACGGTGTGGGCGTGCGTTTCTCAAATAGCTTCGCGTACGTTGAAAAATCTGGGGAGGTGGAGCCGATACAACCGCACGCAGCCCCGCGTCGACCAATAGTACGGCCATTCATTAAGTATTCCTGTCGCCACGTATCGCGAACTTTGACAAACTTTATGTCACGTGCAACAATCTCACTCACGATCGCGGCCTCGCCGCCTGAAAAGTAGCGGGCCGCAGTTCCACCCTCCCGAGTTGAGTTTCCGACCGTGGTGTCCGCTTTAAAAATGCAACAGGCCATAAGCCTGGGAGTGCAGCTTCTACAACCTGCGCGACGCGAGGTCGAAAAGTTTCGTTGCTGGGGACGCGTCACCGGAAGGAAGACGAAAACGTATCGCGGGAGTTGTTTCGACGGAACGAGCTGCGCTAAGATTATATGCTTCGTATTGCGAGTAGTCGCGAACAGACACGAACACGACGGCGATATACGCCAAAACGCCTGGCGAAGATAGATAAACTTTAGCGATTTCTCTCGGACGATTTTTCCTCATAATCAATATGACTGATTTGAAAACATTATTTTTACGTTGCATTAAAAAAAAATTTATAAAATAGAATAAATAAGTTTAAAATAATAATAAAAAGTAGAATTTAATTATAAAAAATGCAAATCGCGCTGTGTTTCAGATGAAACATGAATATACGTTAGATGCAAAGTTGTACACGACACTATAAAAAAAAGTAATTTAAGACTCGAGGATGCGGATCCGAAGTACTAAGAGAAAGCGAAATTGCGAAAGTTTTTTTCCAGCGTTGCAAGAGATTTTCTTGCTGTAGATGAACAAATTAAAAGCACTAGAAAAAGGAATGGTAAGAAAATTAATTAAAATTTAAGTTATTAATAATATTATGAGAAACACCTGTAATATCTGACCGGACAAAAAGAACTTTCGCTTTATGATTTTCTTCTTTATTTTACATTAACGATTACAACATTTTTTCGGATGATAGAAATAATTCTATTTATCTGCGAAAATTAAATAGAATGAGAGTATTATTTAAAAAAAAAATTTATATATTTTTGTTTTATTACTAAAGTTACTCACTGTATTACTCAATATCATTGTCATAGCACTCATCAGTAAATTAATTACATTTTCAGTGCATCGCCAACAGTACTGATATGTATGATGCTGATGCTTTTACAACCTATAACATTATAACATTTCATATTATTATAAATATACATAATTATAAATGATAATAAGAAATAGTAACAAGAGAAAACTGTAAAATTATAATATATAATAATTAAGATTTATATAAGAGAGCTGTCTGTGAATTTTATTTTCATTTAACGTGTGCCATTATAAATGATACAAAATAACAAAATTTTTTTTTCAATGCTATGCTTTTAATATTAATCAACACTTTTCGAAGATAATGTTTATAAAAATGGAAAATCTGAAAACAGATTCGAATTTCATGTTTCATGCAAAACGAACACAAGTCAAAGTAATGCAATATATTGAATCTTACACTAGTAAAACGCTCCAAACAGAGATCCACGACTTTTCCGCTGGTAATCGTCAATCTTTTTTGCGACCTTAAAATGATTAGCAGCATAATTCGACTCTCTTTAGCTGGAAAATCATACCAAAGAGAATCGTATGCCGCATTTCCGATCATTTTGCTCTGAAAGAAAAGCAAGATATATTCGAGATTTAATAAAACCGTCATAAATTTTGCCAGTCAACTAACCTTGGCGCTCAGATATTCACCACAAAGGCAGTATATGAACGCCTCGAGGTTCATTGTGATGTAGAATAATACGGATTTTACTAAGATGGCTGCAGCGTTGGGATCACCGATCGACTGAAAATTTTTATATACGTGGATAGTTCAGTAGTTTAATATGAGTTTGTTCATACATACGTTCAGCCATCTTTAATATCAATTTTTTCGAATTGATAACTTTTTACTAGATGTGCAATATTCACGCGCGTCTATAAAATATCAAAATATAATATATTTTTATCCATATTACTTACGGTGACGATAATATATCCTATACAGCATGTGATAAGCGTGTCTGATAAGAGCATCATTAATGAGATATACGTATAAAGATTCTCGATGTTTTCCGAAAATAGAATAATTTTCTGGTGCTTCGCGATCATTGATCGCATCGTGATTTCGTCCGTCGAGTGCGCCGCACTTTTGGAGAAGGCTTTTATTAGCCATTCTCGAAGCAAGTCAATTTGGCCACCGATGTGAAGTATCTGAAGTTTATAGGTTGATGATCTTCAGGAAAATAAAATACCATTTCTTTTTCAATATTTTTAAAAAATATAAAGAAAACATTATTAATTAATTTTTGAAAAATTAAACAAGTTTACGGTTTTAAAAAATATTTTGCATTTTATAATTCTCTTAAATTCTTAATAATAAATTGTGATTTTTACGGAGTTTATATAATTCTTTTAATTAAAGTTCTATTTTATATTATATGAAAAATTTAAAAGATTGCGCAGGGATAGAATCCATCTTATTTCAGGTTCGAGAAATTTAATTGAGGTACAGATTGCGCAATTCTGACTTACCAGAGTGACGAGAAGTGAATTGATAATTGTAATACCGCAACCGACTAGTAACAAATGGTAAAATTGAACTATTGTAACCGACATGTAAATAAATTCTGTACTAATATTGAACGGAAATTCCATTTTCAGGATAAGTTCTCGCGCGTATGGTTCTATTCTTTCGGGATTGTTTGCATTAGCGGCAAGAACGCCGGTACTGTAGAAGATTACGGCGACCACTTGCAGGCCGACGATCAATCTCGAGGCGCGACGTGCAAGATGCGCCGTGTTCGTCATTATGCGCGAGTTATAATGCCTCGCGGTGTAGTCTCGCCAGTCCGCATCCATCATTTGCAATAAATCGAAAAATATTCTAAGGAAGGTCGAGTTTGCGTTAACGTCTGCTTTAGCTATCATAAAATCAGATAAAAACTAAATCCGGGCGCGAACACGTTTTATAAAATATCAGAAAATTCTTCGTTAATGATATGTAATAATTCATTGATAAATATCTCTTACCTTTGATTGATCCACAGGATAACAAGTTTGATATAAAACAGAGACCATGCCAATGCGCTACTCACTCCGTCCATGAATTGCGAAAAATCGTCCATACCGATGTTTACCATTACGTATCGATACTGAAAGACTTGAGCCATGCCTAATATGACGATCCAGTACAATCTAAAGAACACGGTGGACGATACGTAGGGCCAGACACCGTAAATGTGCAGTCCGATTCTGACCACCCGGCTTACCGTCGTCATTTGCATTTTTCCTCTTCAAAAGAGATGCGCAACGCTTCGAGAATTCAATTGCGCCGACGAATAACACTTGGAATAACATTGAAGTCCGATCGCGGAATTCCACGTCATTGACCGTCGACCACAATCACTGCTCGTTAAATATACATTTTTGCCGTAGCATGCACGAAACTGCAATTGTACTTTCATGAACAGGTGAAAAGTGGGGGCGTCTCCTCCCCTCCACGTCGAGCTTCAGAAAACGATGTAAGCTCTCTTTAAAAATGCAACAGGCAGGGTAAGAAGGAACGCAGCTTCCACGAACCGTCTGCCGCGAGCAGTTGAAAAGTTTCACACGTGGGGGAGCGTCATGAGGGAAGAAGACATAAACGTGTCGCGGGAATTTGTTTCGATGGAAACGAGCTGCGCTAACATAACAGGTCGTGCTGCAAGTAGTCGTAAACAGAAGCGCGCACGATCATGACGGCGGTGTATGTCACATTCAGCGAAGAGATAAAATTCAATGGTTTTTTAAAATAAGTTTTTATAATTAAAGTATATAAAGAGATATTGTGTTTTTCCGTATTGCATTGTCAAGCCGACATTTGATGAAACTATATATAAGTGAATTTAAAGTTATATTACCAGTAAGAAATGAAATTTAATTATAAAAAATATAGGTTGCACACAGATTGTTTTAAATAAAATATGACTGTACATCAGGTGCAGAACTTGCACCATGAGAAAGGAATTCCAGACTTGAGAATGGGAATTCGATATACCAACAGAAAGCGAAATTGCGAAAGTTTTTTCCAGCGCTGCAAGAAAGTCCTTTCACTGCAGATAAGCGAACTAAAGAAAAGCTTTAGAAAAACTGGTAAGAAAATAAAACTTAGATTGATATTGGCGTTATTAATAATATTAGATAAGAAATCAAAGAAATATTTGACCAGATAAGAAGTACTTCTGCTACATAAGTTTAATTTTTTTAAACGATCTCTTCTTAGTCTTGCATTAACAATTATAATATATATTTTTTCGTTTAAAAAAAAACGCCAATAGTTTTAATTATTTTCAGGTTTAAAGAGATAAGTTAAATAAAAAAATATTATTTATAAACTTATATATATTTTTGTCTCGTTAACGTTATTGAAATCTACTGTGCTCTCACACGTGATTGCTTCATACTATGATCATCGTCCATATTTATAATCATTGTCCATACATCATCTATCTTTACTGCATTGCTAATAGCACTGATATATATGACGCCGATGCTTTCACAACCTATAACATTGTTGCATATGATTTATCATAAATATGTACAATTATACATAATAATATAAGGAAACAATAATAATTAAAATTATATGCGTGTTATATAACAATATCGGCATGTCAATCTATGTGCAAACTATTTTTAAAATCTGCGAAAAATTAATATTAATATTAAAGTAGCATCAATAATTTATCTTCCAAATTATGCATATGAATTTTATCTAATATATGCTGTTGCAATAATATATACTTTTCTGTTTTTAATATTAATTGAAATCGGTAGAAGATAATTAGAATGTTTGCGAAAATATAAGATCTGTTGTAAATATTCAAATTTTTGTTACAAAGTTAAAACGTGCCGAACAACATAATTGTTTAAATCTTACGCTGGTGAAACGTTCCAAAGAGAGGTCCACAACTTTTCCGCTGGTAATTTTTAATCTTTTTTGCGACCTCACAATGACGAGCAGCATAATTCGGCCCTCTTTAGCCGGAAAGTCATACCAAAGGGAATCGTACGCCGCATGTCCGATCATTTCGCTCTGAAAGAAAAGCGGAATATATTCCAGATATGTTCGCAAATTGAAAAGCTCACTATAATTTCTGCTGCTTGCTGACCTTGGCGCTCAAATATTCACCGCAGAAACAGTATATGAACGCCTCGAGGTTCATCGTGATGTAGAATAATAGAGACTTTACCATGATTGCCGCGCCATTGGGTTCACCGATCGACTGTAATTTCCATATACGCGAACGGTTTAGTAGTTCAGCATGAGTTTGCGCATACACAGTATTTCCAGCCGTCTCCGATATCAACCGATATCGACAGCCTTTTACCGGATACGCGATATCTGTGTCTATATAAAATATCGAGCATCATTTTCGTGCATATTACTCACGGTGACGATAATAAATCCTAAACAGCATATGATGAGCGTATCTGACAGGAGCATCATCATCGAGATGTACGTATAAAGATTCTCAATGTTCTCCGCAAATAAAATAATCTTCTGGTGCTTTAAGATAATTGATTCTATCGTAATTCCATCCATCGAATGTGTTGCGTTTCTCGAAAAAGCTTTCGTCAACCATTCTCGGAGCAAGTCTATTTGACCGCCAATGTGAAGTATCTAAAGTTTATACCTTGATGATCTTTAGGAAGACAAAAAATCATTTTTTTAGGATCTTTAAAGGATATCGAGAAAAAGGGAAATCAAAATTAAAAAAAAAAAAAAAATTAAAATATTAATTAGTCATAAAAACTTAATTAGGTACAATTTAGTAAGTTAAATTTAAA